CTTCTTCCCTTCCTTAGAACATCTATTTTTTTTTCCTGTAAATGTGCTTTCATTCTGCAATCCACACAGCTGGTCATCTTTCTTTGTTGTTGTGTCTAAAAGCAGCCATATGTCATCAGCAAACCTCTCATGTATATTGAACTTCCTTAGCACATCAGCTTGTCTCTTTGAATCTGTTACCTGATGTCTCTAAAGTGGCAAAACACAGCAACACGGGTCCTTCTGGTCCCTCGTGCATCAGAGTAGCACTTAGGAATATTGTAGTGATCGGGCATTTAGGTCTGGAACCAGTGTCTATTTTAGCTTTGTTTTTTCTAAAAAAAAAAATCTTTTTGTTTCAGCTCAGCTAGGATTGATATGTCTCAAATCAGCTCTAGGTGATAGAGCAGTAGGTACACCGATCCTTTATGTACAGTCGCACAGCTACAGAGCACTGGTAGGAGCACTTGGCTTGGTCTTGCCTCAACCACAGCCGCTCTGACTCACAAGCCCAGGCTCTGTATTTAGTGCTCACTTGTTTTTTAGGGAGTGCTCTTGTCAAGGAGTTAACAAAGTATAAAATGTTTCTGTTCAAAACGTTGGCATTGGTGCTTGACTACCATATGACGTGTCTAGCACAAGGTATATGCGTTACAGAGAAGGGCATTTATTCAAGGAGAGCCAGATCAAAAAGGTGAGTTGTGAATAAAGTTTGAGATGCTTTTGGTTCAGAAGATACCCCCAGGCTTTCTAAAAGCATGTTTTGTTATCTTCGTTCTGTAGTTGTGTATGTGAAAGCTCCTCTTTTCCTTCCCCAGTTTGGATTATGTTACACAGTTTAGGTATTCAGGTATTGAAGAGTCTGTGAGATGGGGAGATGGGCAGCCTCTTAAGGAGCTAGAACCATGTTGGGTAGTCTTCCAGGTGACTATGCTTGTAGCACTCTCTGTTGCTGTCGAATTTTGAAACTCCACTCCTGCAGTGGTTCTTCTTCTAAGTTGCAGTCATTGCATGAATTCAAAAGGGCATCCATTTTGGTGGCCAGGCCTGTGGCTGATTTTTCTCATCATTGTACATGGAGAATTAGGTGTTTTGTGGCACTGGTATTTGACCATTCAGTAGTACTGAAGAGTTCACGCCATACCCATGGTTACCCTGGCAATAAAGTGATGAGCTCTACTCAGTAGAATGTGATGGGAATGCTTAGAGGTGGCGAGATTTTTCAGAGAGCTTTCCTTTTCTATGACAGTTAACTCATTTGTTACTGGGATTCATTCTTAAACAGTCAATTAAGTAATGCATTTAATAGGCTGAGAAAAGGATGTCAGTGTCTTGACATTCATAACAATCTATAATGTGCAGTACTCACTACATTTTTAGGGGTGAATTTACACCTTCTGATCGGAAACTCCCTTTTGTAAGGGAGAAAATAAGTAAATAAACCAGTTTCCTACAAAATTCTATAATCTGTACCCGAGTAAAATTATTACAACATATGTATACATGCTTAAACTCCTAGACCTCAAAAAAGATCAAACAAATCCAGCTATACCGGATGCACACGGCATTTAAACACCAGTATGATTGTTTCATTCATTGGAAGCAAATTGACAAAACACGACAAATTTTATACAGAAAAAGTATTTTAAAATCACGGAGAGCAACACAGAACAGCCATCATTAAATAACTTACAGTGCAATACATTTGGCAATGCTTTTGCCAAGCAATCAAGTTTTTCAGATGTTCAGAGAAAGAGGAGCTCTCTGCTGCCCTTCGCCAGCACGTACCTGTGTATTTAAGGCTGTAATGACACTTGTCTGCAAGAGATTCAACATGATTCAGAAAACATGTAAAGCTGTGACCTGTACCTTTCATTCATTTTGGCTAGTTCCATGCTGATGAGGTGATCTATCATCGTTGTTACCATGTTATAGAGCCTTTTCCTACAAGAAAGTTTAGCCACTACGGCGATGCCTGGACAAGCAGCGCCTGGCACCCAGCAGTGCGCAGACTAAACTGTAGTTTTAGTTAGAGAATATGAAAACTGACAACAAATTATTGCTTGTGGTCTTTTTCCAGTTTTCAAGTGCAAACATACCGAAGTTTATTTTAAATCTGAGCCAGTCAGACATTTAGTAATATAGATCAAAGACGAAATGAAGGCCTCCCATGCTTATTATTTCAATATGATGTCTGTTCTAATAAAGTGTAAGAATGCTTGTGATAGACTAACTAGTAGGAATTTTCTGGTTCTGTAGTTTAGCCTTAAATATATACATATATTTGTAAATTAATCAGAACCACATTGTCGTGGTTTCAGTTCCTCAGAAAGCTGATTGTTTTCAATCCTTTCTTTAATCTTAGAAATATGGTGGCGGGCTGCCAGCACACTTTCAGATAAACAGTCCACTCCACATTTAAACGCTGGAGAATCGCTGATGTTGGGGAGGGTGTGGGGGACCGCAACAAAAAACACCGCCAGCCCTCTCTGTCTTTCTCTCTTTTCCCCAAAATGTAGAA